TAATTAGGGTTTTTGGGCTTTCCGACCACAGTACATAAATTCTTAATGATAGATGGTGGTACTCTTTGGGAGGGGCACATAGTGGATGTGTTCACAGCGCTAAAATCCATAATAGTACACTGGATCTAACTTAGTGCTAAAAGATATACAAAGAGTACATCCGGAAAATTATTTCCCAGGACAAAGAGCAAACTTCCGCGCAGCGTTTCTAGTACCTAGTCCACCAACACTTGGCCTTGATCACCACATGCACCCTCCTAGGCATGTTATCTACGAGGTTAGTGCAAACCTTTACAAGGATCTTCTCGCAATCTTCCTGGACCCACCCTTTTGCATAAGGGGGTGAGCACTAGGAAAATCATGAAGTATTTGAGCGTATGCAATAGTATTGTGCACAATTTCATATTGAAAGTTATCTCTAAGACTAGCCACGTTGAGGTATGGCCAAAGATGTCATAAGTCGATTAGTCTCGTCTTATCATGGATCGTCTTCGTCGTACCGTTATAGGGTAAAATTACGAGTAGAGTGGCGAAAACTAGCGTGTCCGCTGCAAAACTTAGGGTAACATAGCACGGTCGACTGTGCACCCTTTCACTAATAGAATCACATTAAAATCTACGGGTCTCGTCACGGTGCAGCAATCGAAGAAGCCTCGACTGGTGGGGAAGAATATCCGGGTTGAGGTCTGGTGAGGATGAGGGTCACTCGAGTGCTATAAACTCATGCTCTCCAAGCCATTCCAAGCCTAGGCGGGACACATGACTTGGAGAGTATGAGTGTGTTGCATTGGAGTGACCCTTTTCCTCACCAGACCTCAACCCGGATATTCTTTCTTAACAGTCGTGGCTTCTTCGACTGCTGCACCGTGATGATACCTAAGGATCCTAGCGTGATTCTAATAGTGCAAGGGTGCACAGTAGTCTCTAGGCCAAGTGTTGGTGGAATAGGTACTAAAAACGCTGCGCGAAAGTTTGCTCTTTGTCCTGGGAAATAATTGTTCGGATGTAATCTTTGTATATCTTTTGGCACTAAGTTAGATCCTGTGTACTATCATGGATTTTTGTGCTGTGAACACATCCACTATGTGCCCCTCCCAAAGCGTACCACCATTAAACATTAAGACTTTATGTACAGTGGTCGGAAAGCTCAAAAACCCTAATTAATGCAAAACATCCGGACAGTTGTTTCCGTCACTGTATGTGAGCGTCACTTTGTTGGGGTAAGTGCGACCGCATGTGCTTTTAAGTTTGTCGTTAGATACAACAGGAAGCCATACATGTATTCTGGTTTCCGGCATGCGTTTGACGCAGCCTTTGGGCGTGCATATTTTATACGCAGAAAGTTTGGTACTTTGTCTAACCATGTGATAGATGTGGAGCATGGACTGTATGACGAGACGGGTGCTTTGATTTTGAATAAACTCCTCGACACAAAATTTGTGAATGCCGTGGTAGTACCATTATCTACAACACCGAAGAAAAATCAATCGATGATGAAGTTTCTATAAGACTGCAAGAGTGGACCCAATGTCGAATGTTCAGCTTGCAGTACCCTAAATTTTGAGCGTAACACAAAAACGTTGAAATCGACAAAATCTGCACGACGAGTGGGTCAATATTGTGCATGATACGAGCTGGAGGGGAAACTATCACCGCTAGCCAAACTTAATCAAATGGCTTCCCTAGCATTCCTTTAGAGCTTTGAGATATTACTGCATTGGAAGAACGTTTGATCAGTCCTCGCATTGCATTTCTTTGTCCGTTGGCAAGCAACTTGGCATCCAAGGGGGTGTTATAAATGTTCCCGTCAAAGTGGACAGAATGGTTCAGAGTCTACCAAGACTGCCAAATGATACGCATATGGTAACGGTACAATTAAAGTGCAAGGTGGTTTATGATAACAGCACATTTGAAGAAAATGTTCGCTCGACGAAGATTTTCAAAGCCTTGCAGTTCCTATGCACGCAAGATCTTTACAAGGAGTATGGCGTTCATTTTGACATATCAAAAATGAATATTCTGGAAGAGAATAATAATGGGCTGACATCCAACGACCACAGAAGCGACGACGATAGCCATGGTGAAGTGACACGATCATCGTCACACGATAGTGAACAATCTGATCATCACAACGTTGGCATACTTGATACATTGTTAACGAAAGAGCAATTTTATCAGCAACCATTGCAAGGCATTCTCCAAATGGCACCTGGTGAGCAATCTCGACCACTGTCTATTTTCATTGATAAGGACGTTGAAGAACTAAGCTATCCGTCAATCTACTGCGGTGAACGCAGATTTGGTGGTTCTTCTTATATTGAGGCTTCGTATTCCGACATAGTTAAGTGGGAGTTGAAACACGCCGATGGTCGATGCTCTTCTAACATTCCAAATATTTTTAATAAGATGTACAAGAAGAAGATACTGCAAGTCCAGAATGTTATTGCAACAAGAGTCAGACAAGAGAAGATTGAGAATCTGCAATCCTTAACAGCTGCAG